AATAGTCATGACCATCATCACTTTCATATTCTGTATGACAGTAAAACTGTGTTTAGTAAACATAAACTGTTTTTTAAAAGCCTGTATAAGGCCGGGCGCAGTGGCTCAAGCCTATAATCCCAGCACTTTGGGAGGCCGAGACGGGCGGATCACGAGGTCAGGAGATGGAGACCATCCTGGCTAACACGGTGAAACCCCATCTCTACTAAAAAAAAAACTAGCCGGGCGAGGTGGCAGGCGCCTGTAGTCCCAGCTACTAGGGAGGCTGAGGCAGGAGAATGACGTAAACCTGGGAGGCAGAGCTTGCAGTGAGCTGAGATCCGGCCACTGCACCCCAGCCTGGGCGGCAGAGCGAGACTCCGTCTCAAAAAAAAAAAAAAGCCTGTATAAAAAAATACAGATAAAAATTGAAATATTTTATAGTCATCTGCATTTACAACTGCTTTGTCCAGGCTTAAAGCTGATTTCTTTAAAGATCAAACCATTCAAACCTTTAATTTTCAAGATCAGGGAATTGAGACTAGCCCATGATATGGTGCATAGTAGTAATGACACAGCCGAGACCAGGAAGGAGCTCAGCTTCTGAAGACCTCAGAGTTTAAAGAAGTTCCCTCTTTCAAGTATCCAGGAAGGCCACTTGTAATGCCAGGCAGTGCCAGGAAGGAAGTGGAAATGGACAAGAACAAGAGAGGATGGCAAACCCCTATGGCTTGGTTATTTTGTTGTTAGGAACATTTTCATGTGACTTAAAAAATATCTGATGATTAGCTGCATAGAGGTACCAGGAAAAAAAGTTTTAAAAATGTTTTTATCTGATCAAGGTGAAGGGGAATTTCTGGGAGGAGGCTTTATTCCTTTTTTTGTTTTTGATGAAGTCTTCCTCTGTTTCCTAGGTGGAGTACAGTGGTGCGATCTTGGCTCACTGCAACTTCTGCTTCCTGGGTTCAAGCGATTCTCCTGCCTCACCCTCCTGAGTACCTGGGACTACAGGCGTACGCCACCACACCTGACTGATTTTTGTATTTTTAGTTTTGCCATGTTGTCCAGGCTGGTGTTGAATTCCTGACCTCAGGTGATCCATCTGCCTCAGCCTCTCAAAGTGATGGGATTTTAGGTATGAGCCACCACACCCAGCCAGGAGACTTCCTTTTTTTTTTTTTTTTTTTTTGAGATGGAGTCTCGCTCTGTCACCCAGGCTGGAGTGCAGTGGCACAGTCTTGGCTCACTGCAGCCTCTGCTTCCAGGGTTCCAGCAGCAATTCTCCTGCCTCAGCCTTCCAGATAACTGGGATTACAGGCACACGCCACTATGCCTGGCTACTTTTTGTATTTTTTGTAGAGATGGGGTTTCACCATGTTGGCCAGGCTGGTCTCGAACGCCCGACCTCAGATGATCCACCCACGTCAGCCTCCCAATGTGCTAGGATTATAGGTGTGAGCCACCGCACCCAGCCAGGAGGTTTTATTCCTATTATATGCGCAGTGGAAATGCTGTGATGGACTGGACCTATTGAAGTCACAAATCAGATGCCTGCTGGACCAAGTAACTGGGTTTAGGCTTTCTCTGAGGAGGGTCAGGGATCTATTGCTGTTGGGCAGGAAAGGGAGCCAGGAAAGGGAGCCAGGAAAGCCAGATATTCCGAATTTCCAAGAGCCAGAAATCCCAGTTTTTAATTTGAAATCTCCCAAATGTTGCCGGGCGCAGTGGCTCACACCTGTAATCCCAGCACTTTGGAAGGCCAAGGTGGGTGGATCACGAGGTCAGGAGATCAAGACCATCCTTGTCAACATAGTGAAACCCTGCCTCTACTAAAAATACAAAAAAATTTAGCCGGCCATGGTGGCGGGTGCTGTAGTCCCAGTTACTCAGGAGGCTCAGGCAGGAGAATCTCTTCAACCCAGGAGGCAGAGGCTGCAGTGAGCCAAGATCGCGCCACTGCACTCCAGCCTGGGTGACAGACCAAGACACTCTCTCAAAATAAATAAATAAATAAAATCTCCCTATTTCAATTTTTTTTGAACACTGTGTGTATCAAATAAACTTCTGAGTTGGCTAGCCAGAGACTCCAGTTTTTAGGCTTTACGATAAATAAATATGATAGTACACATTTTGATACCAGGTAGACCTGGATTCTCTTGTAAGCTTAGCTGGGTATAAATCATTATTCCTTTCCTTCTTAGCATTCATGAGAAATGAGAAATAATATCATCTCTCTCCCAATCCAGCTTTCTTATTGCTTGTGGGAGGAATGATTAGATGGTAAAACAGGCTGGGCGCGGTGGCTAACACCTGTAATCCCAGCACTTTGGGAGGCCGAGGTGGGCGGATCACCTGAGGTCAGGAGTTCAAGGCCAGCCTGGCCAACATAGCGAAACCCCGTCTCTACTAAAAATACAAAAATTAGCCAGGCATGGTGGCAGGTGCCTGTAATTCCAGCTACTTGAGAGACTGAGGCAGGAGAATCACTTGAACCCAGGAGGTGGAGTTTGCAGTGAGCCATAGTAGCGCCACTGCACTCCAGCCTGGGTGACAGACCAAGACTCCATCACAAGAAAAAAAAAAAAGTACAAAACTTCCAATATCAATAATTTAAGTAGGTACATTAAACACAGCCTCTTTAAGTAAGATGGGAAAGACTTATGATTATTCATATTCTGGCGTTCCTGTGAAAATCAGCTAGAATCACTTAAGTGCTCAAAACCCCAGTTTCTGGTTCTGTTTAATGGGAACTGAAAAAATATCCACCACCACTCTCCCTTCTCTATCAAGGTGTCAAGTAAGCTAACATTTGGGAAGGCCCTAGGAAAAGCCGAAGTGCTTCACAAAAAGAGATGTTCGGCCAAGTGCAGTGGCTCACACCTGTAATGCCAGCACTATGGGAGGCCAAGGTGGATGGAGGCCAGGAGTTCGAGACCAGCCTGGCCAACATGGCAAAACCCTGTCTCTACTAAAAATACAAAAAAATGGCCAAGCATGGTGGTGCGCACTTGTAATCCCAGCCACTCAGGAGGCTAAGGCAGGAGAATTGCTTGAAGCCGGGTGGCGGAGGCTGCAGTGAGCCAAGATCATGCCACTGCACTCCAGCCTGGGTGACAGAGCCAGACCGTGTGTCAGAAAAAAAAAAAAAAAAAAAAAATAGTAGATGTTCACCTGTCACTAATTCATTGTGCTGCTGTTCCATATTAAAATTTAGACCAACTATTAAACTTCAATTCTTTTAGTGTGTTTTGTTTGTTTGTTTGTTTGTTTTTTAAGACGGAGTTTCGCTCTTGTTGCCCAGGCTGGAATGCAATGGTGAGATCTCAGCTCACCACAACCTCCTCCTCCCGTGTTCAAGCGATTCTCCCGCCTCAGCCTCCCGCATAGCTGGGATTACAGGCATGCGCAATCACGCCCAGCATTGTATTTTTAGTAGAGACAGGGTTTCTCCGTGTTGGTCAGGCTGGTCTCAAACTCCTGACCTCAGGTGATCCTCCCACCTCGGCCTCCCAAAGTGGCTCACAGATTACAGGCGTGAGCCACCATGCCTGGCCTAAACTCCGATTCTTTTAAACCACAGCTATAAGAGTCAGGCAAAAGTCACCCTTTTTTTTTTTTTTTTTTTTTTCTGAGATGGAGTGTCACTCTTGTTGCCCAGGCTGGGGTGCAATGGCACGATCTTGGCTCACTGCAACCTCCGCCTCCAGGGTTAAAATGATTCTCCTGTCTCAGCCTCCCACGTAGCTGGGATTACAGGCAATGCGCCACCACGCCTGGCTAATTTTTTATATTTTTAGTAGAGGCAGGGTTTCACCATGTTGGTCATGCTAGTCTCGAACTCCTGACCTTGTGATCCGCCCGCCTTGGCCCCCCAAAGTGCTGGCATTACAGGCGTCAGCCACCGCGCCCGGCCAATGGTTCTTCAAATTAGTTTCTAAACACCCCAACTCATCTTAATAGCACAACCCCTATTTTCTAGACATCAGTATTATTGTACTTACTGATTTGGATCTGATCCATAATCCACCAGAACATCAACTAATTTCCTAAGGCCCAATAATGCCGCAACAAAAAGTGCTGTTTGGCCCAAGTTGTTAACTGCATCAACATAAATTCCTGCAAAGGAAATATCAGAATCAATGCAAATATCAGAAAATTTCCTGAGATGGAACTGGGTGGGGGGGGGGGAGATTAAAGAAGGCCTTCATTAGTCGCACATAGATATACTAGAAGGCAAACTCAGTGTTTATTCATCAAAAATATTTACAGAAAGTTGCATTGAAGCATTTAGTTCACCACACTCTGGTGTATTACAAAATGGATTAAAATGGTTCTCAATCATGGGAAGGGATGAGGGAGGGACTAAAGATACTGTGTGTGTTGGAAGGAAGGCTATAACATAAAAAGAGCTCACTGGAATTACAAGTCCTCACCTAAAAGATCTTACTAAAGTATAAAGACTAATTAGACAAGGGAAAACAAAATACACAAAACAGACCAATTTCCAGTACTATCAAACAATGAGGCTGTGAATAATTAAAAGGGACTGAAAAAAAAGAAAAAGGCCAAAGTAGTAACACGACCAAGAAAAAAAATAAAGAAAACACATCTTACCTACCAAGAAAAAATCAATCGCGCACGCCTGTAATCCCAGCTCTTTGGGAAGCTGAGGCGACTGGATCACCTAAGGCTAAGAGCTCGAACCCACCCTGGCCAACAAAGCGAAATCGCCTCTCTACTAAATGTACAAAAACTAGCGGGGAATAGAGGCGAACCTGCAATCCCACCTACTTAGAAGTCGGAAGCTGCAAGGACCCGAAATCGGGCCATTTCACTCAGGTGTAAAATAACAGAACAATGCCCTAACTCAAAAAAGTAAAAAACAACAGCACATGTACACACTTAACCAGTGTCCAAATAACAACAGAAAAATGAGCATTCCCTTAAGCCACAATTAATTGAAAAAATCGCTGATTAGTTGACACACGAACTACTCTTAATACACAAATAAAATATCCGGAACCACTCAGATTGCGCTCTCTCCCTCTTACTCTTCCAAAAGAAGAGAAGAACGATCATCAATAGCACAAACCAAACACCATAAAAGAGTACCGAATGCCAACTTCACGCTCAAAAGAGAACACTACACCTCTTCCTCGTGGTTTCCGGTACTCTACACGTTCAGACAAACTTCTCTAATAACAAACTTCAGAAATAATCTCTGAAAGTATAATCTTACCCAACAACTCCACGCCTCCCCGATGCGAAAGAAACTCACAAATATTTCGCTGATGGTGAGTTTTTCGTGAGCACCATTTTCCCCTGGAAAATATTAGTACGTGCTTTTTTCCAAAAACGATCTTTCCATTACCAAAGTTCGACAAAGCATTTAAAATAAGCTCAAAATTTCGAAGCTACTTTAGGCAATCACGGTAATTAACATATGGTAGCAAAACAGCCAATCACTCGCTATTTTCTAACCCCGCCCCATTTTCCTCCACACATAAGGCTGACGACTACAAAGCGCGCCAGAGCTCCAGAAACCTTCAACGACGCTGCCCAGTTTGGACCGATAATCGGAAGCGAGGAGGCCCTTCGAGAACAACCAAAGAGTGAAGGGGAAAGCGATAATTCAAAGCCTGTGATAATTCAAAACTGTGATATTCGCATAGCGCGCCCTATTATATTTTATACTGTGATCAAAATTCCAGACACATAAATATTTTGGATTTCTTCCCCCCAAACCAGGGAGTTTTTATTCTACATGGCATTGCTGTGTTTATTTTTTTCTGGTTCTCGCACTCTTGCCCAGGATGGCCCTGAACTCCTGGATTCAAGCGATCCTCCCACTTCAGTCTTCCAAAATGCTGGGATTACAGGCGTGAGCCATCACACCCAGTCATTGCTGTGTTTAAACAAGCAGGACAACATATTCCCCTGGTTTAAGCTTCAGTAGCTTCCCATTTCTTGAGGTAGAAACAAAACTTCTCTACATACTTCTGTGAGAAAATATTTTAAATGGTCCATTTTCAAGGCATAATAAATCTAAGTACTGGCGGCCAGCCTGCAAACGTAACAAAGCGCACAGCTCATGCATCTAGAAGGTCACAATAAGCAAACAGAATGTAGAGGAAGGGTCAGCCCATGAAAGGGAAGAAAGTTTATTTATTGGGAAATCGAAAATTAAAGCAGAGGGTTACAGCTGGAACCCTGAGGTCCACTACCATCTTGAGGCAAGCTAGGGCCAGGGATGGTAGTTCCCGGCTGTACTCCCAGCACTTTGGCAGGCCAGGCAGATCACTTGAGGTCGGGAGTTTGAGACCAGCCTGGCTAACGTGGAGAAACCCCATCTCTACCATAAAAACAGAAAAATTAGCCGGGGGCTGGGCGCGGTGGCTTAGGCCTGTAATCCCAGCACTTTGAGAGGCTGAGGCGGGTGAATCACAAGGTCAGGAGATTGAGACCTGCCTGGCCAACATGGTGAAACCTCATCTCTACTAAAAAGTACAAAAATCAGCTGGCCATGGTGGCACGTGCTCACGTGCTTGTAGTCCCAGCTACTCAGGAGGCTGAGGCAGGAGAATCACTTGAACACAGGAGGCAGAGGTTGCAGTGAGCCAAGATCACGCCATTGCCCTCCAGCCTGGTGACAGAGCAAGACTCCGTCTCAGAAAAAAAAAAAAAAAAAAAGCAAATAACGAAAAAAGCCAAAAAGTAGGCAGAGATTAGAGGAAAACCTGGAAGACATGGGTCACAAGTGACAAGGAAGGTTAAAAGTTTCAAAAAGAAGGATCAGTCAACAGTATCGAAGCCTGAGACATCTAGTAAGAAGAAATTGGGCTGGGTGTGGGGGCTCACACCTGTAATCTCAGCACTTTGGGAAGCTGAGGTGGGTGGATCACTTGAGGCCAAGAGTTCAAGACCAGCCTGGCCAACATGCTGAAACCCTGTCTCTAATAAAAATACAAAAATACACAACAATTAGCCGGGCTTGGTGGCACGTGCCTGTAATGCCAGCTACTCGGGAAGCTGAGGCAGGAGGTAGAGGTTGCAGTGAGCTGAGATCGTGCTACTGCACTCCAACCTGGGCAACAGAGTGAGAACCTGTCTCAAATAAAAGAAAAAAAGAAAAAGAAACAGTGTTCATGGTGAGAGCATTACTAGAGGGGTTCACACATCTTACTGCTCAGGACTTGCTGTGTTACAAAAATTTGTGGTATGTTTGTGTCCTCTACCAGACTGTTTTTCCTACACTAGAGGGTAGGAACTGCCCAGTGTATCTCCCCTATCTTCAGTGCCTTGTTCACTTATCTGCCCAACACAAGCCAGCCTAAGAGTAGAGAAGAACAGCAGAGAATAGAAAAAGGACAATTCTGCATGGATCTCTCAGTTATGCATGTTACGGGGGCAAGGCACTAACCTGTTCAGGGCACCTCTTTGAAGATATTTGTATAATGAACTTTGGAAGACAGATAGTATCTACATTCATAGCAAATTGAATACATGCTTACCATCCAGTATAATAAAAATAATGTTTCCAGCCGGGCGCGGTGGCTCACGCCTGTAATCCCAACACTTTGGGAGACCGAGGCAGGCGGATCACCTGAGATCAGAAGTTCGAGACCAGCCTGGCTAACATGGTAAAACTCCGCCTTTACTAAAACTATAAAAAGTAGCTGGGCATGGTGGCGGGCGCCTGTAATACCAGCTACTCAGGAGGCTGAGGGAGGAGAATTGCTGGAACCCAGAAGGTGGAAGTTGCAGTGAGCTGAGATCTCAACATTGCACTCCAGCCTAGGTTGACAAAGCGAAACTCTGTCTCAAAAAAAAAAAAAAAAAAAAAAAAGAAAGGTTAAAAGGAAAAAATACTGATATTCTGGCTACTGCTATTGCTATGAGTTATAAACCATTATTCATCTATGACCCCAAGAATCTCATCCACACACCTGTAGCAATCTAATTTATCAAATCTGAAACTATTTATAGTTATTGACAAGAAGAAATTACAGTCCAGGGAAGCAGGCTGACAAGAAGTTATAGTTATTGACAAGAAGAAATTACAGTCCAGGGAAGCCCCTCCTGGGGCCCAGGGAGGCAAAAAATTAAATCAACCAAGGCCTCCAAGGGCTTTTCTTTTTTTTTTTTTTGAGACAGAGTCTCCCTCTGTAGCCCACGCTAGAGTGCAGTGGCATGATCTTGGCCCACTGCATCCTCTGCCTCCCAGATTCAAGTGATTCTCCTGCCTCAGCCTCCCGAATAGCTGCGATTACAGGCACGCACCATCATGCCCAGCTAATTTTTGTATTTTTAGTAGATATGGGGTTTTACCATGTTGGCCAGGCTGGTCGCAAACTCCTGACATCAAGAGATCCACCTGCCTTGGCCTCCGAAAGTGCTGGAATGACAGGCGTGAGCCACCGCGCCCAGCCTTCCAAGGGCTTCTCTAAGGATCAGAAAACACTTAGGGGAAGGCACTGAGCAACAAATCTTGAGGGGATACAGGTGGCTGGAAAGAAAAATAGGTGAAAACCTCTGTCCCTACAACTTAAGCAAACATGCCCTTTGGAGATTTCCTAATAAAAAATAACACTTATTCATTCAATAAATAATTATTTTAGGCCAGCATTGTACCCATGTTGTGGCTGCTATAAAGGTAACTAAAAACAGTCCCACAAGAAGTGACCAGAGGCAGCTATGACCTGGTACAAAGACTGACCAAAAAGGTTAAAAGACCTGGATTCAAATGTTGACATCCTAATACCACCCTCATTAGCCCAGGGCCTCGAGATGGGTCATTCACCTAACCTCTGGGCCTCCTACGAGGTAATATCTGATATTAACAATAATGTATGCCAGGCATCATTCTTTTAATTCACTTAATCCTCACAACTCTACAACAGGAAGAAGAAACTATTATTATCACTATTTTGTAGATGGAGAAATGGAGAGAGATCAATTTGCCAGAGGTCACAAACCAGTCTGGTTCTAAAGTCCATGCACTATACCACTGTCTCTGTGATATTGTGCAACATATATTTGGGGCCGGGCGCGGTGGCTCATGCCTGTCATCCCAGCACTTTGGGAGGCCGAGGCAGGTGGATCACCTGCGGTCAGGAGTTAGAGACCAGCCTGACCAATATGGTAAAACCCCGTCTCTACTAGTAAATTACATAAATTAGCAGGGCATGGTGGCATGCGCCTGTAGTCCCAGCTACTTGGGAGGCTGAGGCAGGAGAATTGCTTGAACTGGGGAAGCAGAGGTTGCAGTGAGCTGAGATCATGCCAGTATACTCCAGCCTGGGTGACAGAGCGAGACTCTGTCTCAAAAAAAAAAAAAAAAAAAAAAGATTTATTTGGGGCTGGGCATGGTGGCTCACGCCTGTAATCCCAATACTTTGGGAAGCAGAAGCACATGGATCACTTGAGGTCAGGAGTTCGAGACCAGCCTGGCGAACATGGTGAAACCCCGTCTCTACTAAAAATATAAAAATTAGTTGGGCATGGTGGTGGGCACCTGTAATCCTAGCTACTTGGGAGGCTGAGTCATGAGAATTGCTTGAAGCCCAGGAGGCAGAGGTTGCAGTGAGCGTGCCATTGCACTCCAGCCTAGGTGACAGAGTGAGACTCTGTCTCAAAAAAACAAAACAAAACAAAACAAACAAACAACCAAAAAAACCCAAGAAATATACATTTGGTCTTCATGCCTGTTTCCTGATATGGAGCTTCTAAAACTCTTTGAACCTCTGGAATGATGAGTATCTTTTGTATGCTGATGCTGACTGTAGCTAGTGACTGGGCCCATCCAGATGGCATCAGGATGACAGCTGGTCACTGGAAAGACCAAAGCATGATGAGAGGGTTGGGACTCTTAGCCCTGCCACCCAACCTTTGGGGAGGGGAGAGGGGCTGAAGGTTAAATTTATCACCAATGGCTAGTGATTTAATCTACCATGCCTACGTAATGAAGTTTCCATAAAAACCCAAAAGGACTCGGTTGGGACGCTTCTGAACAGCTGAACATGGAGAGGTTCAGGGAGGGTGGGCCAGGGAAGGCATGGAATCTCCCAGCCTTTTCCCACGTGCCTTGCCTTAGACATCATTTCCATTCAGTTGCTCATCTGTATCTTTTGTGATATCTTTACAATAAATGGGTAAACCTAAGTAAAGTGTTTCCCTGAGTTCTATGAGCCACTCTAGCAAATTAATCAAACCTGGGGAGTGGGTTGTGGGAACACCC